GAGCAGGGAGCCCGATGCGGGACTCGATCCCGGGACTCCAGGATCATGACCTGAGCCGAAGGCAGTCGCTTAACCGACTGAGCCACCCAGGCACCCCTAAAGTTGCATTTTCATGGACCCTGGCTCACAGGGACAAGTCAAGCTAGAGGCCAGGGGTCCGTGACAGAGGGCCCAGCATCCCCTTCCAGGCTTGTTTTTGGAAATCAAGATGGTGAATTGGTCCATTTGCCCTCCACCGCTGTGCAGACAGACACCAAAAATCCCATGGGGTGAGAGAGGGAACACGTGAATTCATTCAACCAACCAGCATTTACTGAGCACCTACTATGTGACACGCACAGCCTCGGGGCTGGAGATCCAGCGTCAAGCAAGGTCGAGTAGGTTCAATGGGATAAAGACGTCTCAAAACAGAAGCACCTAGATGAAGATGAAACAGGGTGACTTGGGGGGGGCCCATCTGATCCCGAGAGGTCAGGGAGAGACCCCCGGAGGAGCCGAGGCTCCAGTTCACATCAGGAGAGGGCACAGGCCACCGGGTGACCTGGAAAGGGGACTCGAGCCAGGAGAGCCACCAGTGCAAAGGCCCAGATGTGGGAATATGTTTGAGGAGGAGCAACATGGGAAGGTGGACAGTGCAGGATTCGGGTGAATTTTTAAGAGGGTGCCCCCACCCCCACCCCTGAGTGGGGAGCCGGCTGTTTTTTCTGGAAGGGTGTCCAAAACCCACACGGGCCCTGCAACATGGTGCGGCCAAGAAACCTTACAGGACTTGTGTCTCTGTACCCATTTCCCAGCTTCAGAAACAGAGACCAGAGAGGGGTCTGCACCAACTGGAAATCACATAGCCAGGACTGTGCTGGAACCTGGGCCTGCTGCCCACTCCCCCTGGAGCCAGCAAGTCTGTATATCAATTCCCAGCTCCCTCCCGGGGCTAAAAATAGGATCCCCCTCACTGGAGGCAGCTGGGAATCCTGCAGCCCCTCAGCCTCTGGGGCTGGGCACCTCTGGGGGAGTATGGA